GGCTTGCTGTGTTTCCAAGTGCTTTGCTGCTTCTCCTATTGGCTTAGCCAGGAGGCCAGCAGCCGGAAAACTGGAGTAAGTGCTGCCATATGGAACACGCCAGGGGCCCTGGTGCCACGGCAGAGGAGTCTCCCCCCACACTCTGCCACAGCCGGCCGGGGCCCCAGATACACAGCCAAGGGACAGGGGTTGAAGACCAGCTGGGCAGGGGAACGTTAAACCTGCCCCTCCCGGGAGATGAACATGGCCTGCGAGAGGCGGGTTTCTCTGCCCCGACTCCTCTGGGCCTCACTCACCTGCTCAGAGCCCTTCGGCTCTCTCGGCCACCTGAACCTCCCCATGGGGCGGGGCGGGGGGGAAGGTTCCCCATCTGGTATGGGGCTAGCATATGGCCTTCAGCCTTGGGGCCCAGCCAGAGCACCCTGCACTGGGCTACTCCCAGAGCCCATAGGGGCAGATGGGGGCATGGCTGGTGGGTGCTGCGCTTGGGCTGTTCTCTGCTCCCCAGGGCCCATAGGGGGCAGATTGGGGTCATGGCTGGAGCTCCCTGCGCTGGGTATGTTCTCTGCCCCCCAGGGTCCATAGGGGGCAGATTGGGGTCATGGCTGGAGCTCCCTGCACTGGGGCTGTTCTCTGCCCCCCAGGGCCCATAGGGGGCAGATCAGGAGTGGGGCCAGAGAGCATCCTGTGCTGTGCTACTGCTGTGAAAAGCTCAAAGGCTCAGAGCAAACAGAACACCAGGAGGAGACCCCAGAATTCAGAACCCCCTTGAACATCTCGGGGTTCCAGCTGTGATTGGGGGTGCTCTGGAGCCCTTAGCGCTGGCGACGCTGTACAACTCGCTGTCTCCGGGGTCCGTTAAGGTGCGGGCGATGAGATGCATGGGCTGGGTGTGATGGCGAGTTGGGGTTCCTCCGATCTTGCAGCCCTGTAGCAGCAAGAACAGACTCCACCAGCCAGCAAAATAGAGGGGGTTTATTGCTGCTCCTGCATACAGCACAGCACAGATGTGATGGCTACATCTACACCGGCAAGATTTTGCACAAATACTTTTAACGCAAGAGTTTTTGCGTGAAAGTATTTGTGCAAGAGAGCGTCTACACTGGCATGTGCTTTTGCACAAGAGATGTGCTTTTGTGCAAGAGCATCCGTGCCAGTGTAGACGCTCTCTTGCGCAAGAAAGCTCTGCTGGCCATTTTAGCCATCGGGCTTTCTTGTGCAAGAAATTCACGTTGCCTGTCTACACTGGCCTCTTGCACAAGAACAGCTGCGCAAAAGGGCTTATTCCTGAGCGGGAGCGTCATCGTTCTTGCACAAGAAGCCCTGATTTCTTACATTAGAACGTCAGTGTTCTGGCGCAAGACCACACGGCCAGTGTAGAGAGGCAGCATGTTTTTACAAGAGTCTTCAAGAGTCTGGGCCAGGATGCCGCAGCCCCCTTGAGATGGGGTCCCTAGACCCCTAGATTCCAGCCTCCTCCTTAGTCTGTTTCCTTCGTGGTTCCAGCCCAAAACTGCCTCTTCCCCAACACTCAATTCTTTTGCTCCATCTCTTCCCAGCCGGTTCGGTCACTGTCATGGGTCCCTCAAGATGCCCCCGCTCCGGGCAGTGCTTACAGACAGAGGCCAGTAGGGGTCACCCCAGCCTAAGCACAGCAGCCAGCAAGGTACTGACACTACATCACACCGGGGTCAGCGCCTGCCAGGTGTGCCCGCTCTGTGGAGGAATGGCCGCTTCCCCAGTGCTGAGTATCCAGCCGTCCCCTCAAACCTCCAAAGCCTTCCAGCAGAAGCCTCTTGCGCAAAACCAGCTGCTAATTAATTATGCAAATGAAGCACCTAGTCCGCATTTCATTTGCATGAGCTGTTGCGGAAGAAGGCTGCAGTATAGACATAGCCCTGGTGTGCTCACTGTCCCATAGAGCAGCACTTAGATCACTTGCAGTGAGCGATAAGAAAAAGGGAGCTCTACAGCCCAAACGGCGAGCCAGCTGGCTTACAGCGCAGGCTGTAGAGGCTCCTACACTGAGGTCCTAGGTTCAAATCTGTCTGGTGGGGATTACACAAGGCAGAAAACAATTTACCATTAAGAGCCAGACCCAAGACTTGTGCCACGGGGTGGTTTCCTTTGGCTTCCTGCTAAGGCTCAGTGTCTCATCTGGAAGGGTAGCACCATGGCCACATCCCCAGTAGCATAGGTGGGCAGCTCTCCAGGGGAGTCAACGGACCAGAACCCCAGCTGGTGTAATGGGCCACGCTGGAGTCAAAGGAGCAGTGCTGACTGACACCAGTGGAGGATCTGGGCCCCCCGGGGGGGCAGTTAGTGCCCCCTTTGATACCCCGATGTCAGTTCTGAACCCACTTGCATTTCATGCTCTGCTTAGCCAGGACTGGTTGGTTCTATTCCTAGCTCAGGAGGGGAATGGGGTCTAGTGGTTACAGCCAAAGGTGGGCAGGACTCCTGGGTTCTTGCTGAGCAGGGACGGGGGGTTAGGTAGCAAGGCTAGGCACCGGGATTATGTGGCTCTCTTTCCATGCTTATATAGAGCCCATGCTAGAAAGATGAAGCTTTATAAAGCCAAGCAGCACCCAGGAGAGTGCCCCATGGCTGTAGAGGGACGTACCGGCCAAGGCCAACCCGGAGGATTTTCTTTGGGGTCAAAAACTGCGGAGGCTTCTTCCCCAGCAACGCACCCCAGAACGAGCGAGCCGGGAACGCTTGAGGACAGAGCCCAGGACAGGGATGCGGGATGCCAGGGAGCAGGCATGTGGGTGGCCGGCAGCCTCCACGCCCAGACGGCCACGGCGCCCGCGCCTTGGCTCACCTGATGAAGACGATGATGCCGACCCGTGCGATACTGTCATGCAGGATGCGCCAGGACTCCTGGATCCGCTCCTTCTGCGCACCCGCCGGCGGGAAGGGACCAGCCTCCAGCCCCTCGCCGCCGCGCACCGGCCCCGCTTTCCACGCCGCTCGGTCCTTCTGCTCGGCCTCGGAGCTGCGTTTCCCCGGGGCGCTCCCCGAACCCGACAGAGCGCACCCCATCTCTCTTGAGGCGAGGGGACTCAAACCCACCTCCAGCAGGGCCGTCCTGGATCTTCCAAACCAGCTAGGCAGGGAGAGATGCAGCAAATGAGGAGCCTGCATCTGGGGTGAATGTATACCCTCCTCCCTCCCCTGGGAGAGAAGATGCAGAGGGGCTACCCGAGGGCAGAGCTTGCAGCGGGACACACAGACACTAGCGATCGCTATTTGAAGGGATGCAGCTCTGCAGGCTGACAGAGCCTGGGAGACAGCTGGCATAAATCAACTCCTTCCAAGTTGGCTGAGCCCCGGCTATTTCCACCCACCGAGGAGCCGGCCCTGCAACTCCAAATGCTCCCAGCCAACACACCCATGCCGGGAAGCCCTGATGTGGTCTAGCAGTGGCCCCCACCTACCTAGAGAGGCCCCCGGGCGACCAGGAGGAGGCTGCTGGAGATGGTGAAGGAGGCCAGCGAGGGTGTGTGTGTGTGTGTGTGTGTGTGTGTGTGTGTGTGGGTGTGTTTTGCACAGAGCAGAGCAGTGCAGCCATCCCAGGGTCCTAGACAGCACAGGCTCAGCTAACCAATGGGAGCATCAAGCCTCCTAGTCAATGCACATGTGAAGGGGGGGGCAGCTTTCAGAGGAGCTCCCCAGCCAGCCAGTCGCTGTTCTGGGCCTGTGCCGATAACACGCTCTCCGGACCTGAACCCAGCCCATTCTCTCGAGGACAATCCATGCGGCCAGCACCCCCCACTATAGATTCCGATACCCCTTGGGCCTCTTCCAGGGCATGGGAGGTGTCACCTTGCTGGTGTGGCTCAGAGACTGGCGGGGGATGTAGCCTATTAATCTGCCCCCTCCTCCAGTGCCAAGCAAGGTGCAAGTAAGCCACTTCTTCCAGGTTCCACCTGCTCTGGGCCCGTCTACACCCCCTGCCCTGCTGCCCAACCATAGGCCATCTGCACCCACCTCTCCCCATTACTGGTGATGGTGCTAGAGAGCAGAGAATTCTGGGTATTTTTAAAGGTCGTAGTAGCTGAACAACCCTGGGAAGCATTGTTGCTGTTTTACAGATGGGGAAACTGAGGCACAGCATGGGGAATGAGGGGCAAGGAAAACCTACCCAAAGCTCACCCAGCAGCAGCACCAGGAATAAAACCCGGGTGTCCTGCTTCCTCCTCCAGGGCCCTAGCCCCTGTACTGCACTTCCCCACTTACGGTTGGGGAAACTGAGGCACAGTGCTGTGACAGGGCTTGTCCAAGGTCCAACAGGGTGCTGAGACTGGGGCCCAGGACTGCTGAATCCCAGCGTCTAACTCCCCTCCCCCACTAGACCGGTCTTTCTACCCCGCTTGCTTACCACATTGCATTCTGGGATGCCTGCCCCAGAGGGGGGCCCAGCTAAGGACTGGCAGGGATGTGGTCCCCTGGGGAGTCTCGGTCTGCTAACCAGCCTCCCCCAACACGGGCTCAGGAGAATTCCAGCAGGGCCTGGATTTCTTCAAACTTATCTCCTGCCATCTGCATCCGCTTCCCAAAGGTCGGCGCGCTCTCTGGCTGCCTCCTCCCCGCCTCGCACCCCCTCCCCTGCCTCGCTGCACACGCGCAGGCCCAGGACTGGCCGGGCGGTGGGTTCTCGCACCCGGCCCCTTTCTCCAAAGGCAGGGGGACGAGGCGATTCCGTGCCCCGACGGGGGGGGCTGAGGGGCTATTTGGATAGGGACCAGCCCAAGCAAGCGCGAGGCTCCGCAGCCAGAAGGGAGCCCTGCAGGTGTGAACACTGGGTTTTAAGCTCCCCACCCCCGCTGGAGGAATTACGGGGGGGGGGGGCTCGGGTTTGTTTGT